CTCACCCTGCCCCGACCTCCCGCCGTGTGTTGCAGCCTACGGGATCAACAGCATCCTCTACCAGCGGGGCATCTACCCGCCCGAGACCTTCACCCGCGTCCAGAAGTACGGGCTCACCCTCCTGGTCACCACCGACCCCGAGCTGAAGAACTACCTCAACAACGTGGTGGAGCAGATGAAAGGTGCTGGTGGAGGGCGGGGGGTGCCGGGGCAAAAGGCTGCTCAGGCCTCCTTCCTGGATTTCTGCCTATCCTCTTGCTCATGCTGTGAGTAACTGCTGTGGCTTCTTTCAGAGTGGTTGTACAAGTGCATTGTGCAACGGCTGGTGGTGGTAATCTCAAGTATCGAAAACAACGAGGTTCTTGAGAGGTGGCAGTTTGACATAGAGTGTGATAAAGCTGCAAAGGATGAGAGGTGAGTACCCGTGTTCCTCTGCGCCTGCTCTGGAAACACAGCCTGCTCTTTGATACTCCTAGGAGCTGCTACATGCATCTGCCCTGTTCTGTTTTCTCAGTGCAACCAAGATTGCCCTTCCCAATATGAGTAGGGAAGACTTCTCTTCAAACCTATTACCTAGCCTGCTGCTATTCCTTTTGTTCCTCTCTAAAGCAGTTGTTGTAGTACTGCAGCATACATAATCCTTGTGTGCTGTAAAAACAGTATCAGATAAAAAATGTGATTTTTTTTTTAATCTTCAACAAAACATAAAATTGCATGCCCTTAGAGAGCTAGTTTTGCTTTCCTATTGTTCTGCCAAAATACTTTCTCATTCACTCCACACTGAAGATAACAGCATCTGGCTTTCCTTACAAGTACTGTGAAGCTTCACAGAATTTTCTAAGCCTGTTTACCTAAGACGGAAATGAATGTCCTTGCTACGCAAAGCTAGCCATATAGCAAACAAACCAATGGCAGCATAATATAACACTGTATTTAATGAAAGCTGCTAGTGTGGCAGAAGACTCCTTCCCTAACAAAGCTTTTTTTCTTCTTCTAGTGTACCCCGAGAAAAATCTCAGAAAGCTATTCAGGATGAAATTCGATCTGTTATCAGACAAATAACTGCTACAGTAACTTTCCTGCCTTTGTTGGAAACTGCCTGTGAGTATTCCTGACTTCACTACAGAAATCAAGCACTTCTTGCAGAAAAAACCTGCACAACTTTTCTATTTTAGAAAACCTTTTTGTTTACCTTCTTAGTTTTTTTTATTATGACATGAAATGTCACACACTGTACCATATCTGACATGAGATTGAAGTTTGTTAAACAGATCACATCTCCTGCAACTGTGCATAAAACTGAAAAGGTATGTCAAATCAAGTATTTCATCTTAAAGAATTATTCCGTACTGCTTATTCTACAACAAACAGTAAAAATCATTAAGGTAAATGCTGTTCTCATTGAAGAACTTAAAGCAACTTCATTTGAAGGGACTAGTGGTACGTTCTGCCCTGAAACACTTATAAAACTTCTTTTGTCAAAACGACAGAACTCAAGGTGGTTTAACTGGCTTAATGAAACCAGCAAGTATACTTGGTACTCTATATAATTCTGTATGACAACAGCTGTGAATAGACTTTTATGAACACAAAGCACAGAATCTATCTGAAGCAACTACTATGAAGAACTCAGCTGCTTTAACCCAGTATTTTTTTTTTGAAGAGATGTTAAATTCAAACCTTTGTTTAAATAGAAAACTGTCTACTAATCTGATTGTAGCCAGGACTTTCCATTTTTAAACATGCTTCCTTCACATAACTAGCATCACCGTAATACCTTAAACTTCTACTAAAGTCTCATCTTCTAGAAGAGGCACTTAATCTTCAAACAAGCTGAGTTTTACGCATGTTTTACTATTAACTTTTCCCCTCTGCTTATAGGTGCCTTTGACTTGCTGATTTACACAGATAAAGACTTGGCAGTGCCAGAAAAGTGGGAAGAGTCAGGGCCACAGTTCATAGCCAATTCAGAAGAGGTTCGTCTTCGCTCCTTCACTACCACAATCCACAAAGTGAATAGTATGGTAGCTTACAAGAAGGATTCATTTCCTTAAGATGTACTTTTTGTCATCGGTATCCTGTCTTGTGGAGCTGCACTGTGAACAAACTAAGTAATCAACAGAATCCTGTTACTGTGGCTGAGACTAAGTGTAATACAGAAAGAAGACAAAGCATTCTTCTATGATTACAGATACTGTGATGTCACACTAGTCTAAACCGTCATCCTTTTCAGGAGGTATATACAGGATTTAACTATCGTTAGAAACTACTTATGCTTAACAGTCAATGGTGTGTTAGGCTATGCTGAATCAGCTAGAGACGCTGCCTAAAGGCAGGATCAGTTGCTGGAACTGTCTTAAGAGCTTAAGTTACAGGATCTTAAGATTAAAATACAGAGTTCCATTAGCACTCTTCAAGTCTCTCTTTTGGTATTTAAAAACCCTGCTCTTAGCATACCAGCTTTTCATGGTAAAAGTCTAGGTTGTTGTTACTATAAACAATCCTAAAACTAATCAACAGAAAAATTCTATGTATAAAAGTTACTTGTACCTCCTAACCATTGAAAGCAGCTGTTTATCAGAAAAATCAAATGTGCAAAGTCATGTATATTAATGACTCTTCTCGACTATGTAGTTTTTGAGGATCTTGTTCCAGATTGGTGTGTACCTATTTCTTCAGTGTCTGTCAAATATCTATGTTCGTATTTGTGTCTTTACAGAATAAAGTTGTGCCAGTTTTCAAGTGTTCTTTATTTCAAAGTTTGTTGCTCCATATGTTAGATGGTCTATATACTCCAGATCATAGTAGGTACTTCTTAATATTCACTTTTATAGCAGCAAACTCATTTAAAGTATAAATAGTTTATAACAACAGATGGCATTGTTCCAGAACCTAGAGAGTTGCATTTATTGGCCCAGGTCATAAGTCATACAACGTAAGAGTCTTTCAAAAGTTTTTTTAAATTTATTTAAAAATCATTGATCTTATATATCCTATAACATGGCTGTAGAGTTGATGGGCTTTCCTACTGGAGGACAGTTGATCTCCAGCAGTCTTGACATACTAAAGGATGTCTTTCAGGTTGGGCTAAGTTAACAGCACAGAATCATGGCTTCTAAAATAAGTATGATTCATGTACTTCCAGAAATGCTGTTATATTTTTCCCCACCAGTGCTTGTGCTGCAGTAACTGAGGAATACAGCGAGTACTATTTTGCTGACAGGAAGAGAAAATAATTGTAAGCAGGTGACTGTAATACCTGCGTATACCTGAGAAGTGCACTTCATCAGCAAGTGCAGTTTCAAGCACTTAAGGAGAACTGGATCAAAGCAGTAACAATGCAAATAAACTGCCAAAGAAGTTTAAAACAATACATGACAACCCATGCTTGTTGCCAAAGTTAGGGGCAGGAGGTGGCGGATACAAAACTGTAGTAAAGCATCTAAAAAATGTGTTTTGTTGACACACAGAAATGGGCTTGCTCCAGAAAGTTCAAGTCACCTCTTTGTTGCACCAAATGCACCTTTTCTTCTTCCTCAACATAGGCCACCATAACACACTTTAGTAAAAAGCCAGCAACAGTCAGGAGAGGGTTGTAATATTTCATAGCACAGAGCCAGATGTCCATGAAAACTACATTTGACAAGGAACAGCTCATAAATCCTAAAGTTTTCACAAAGACCCTGCAGAACACGAGACCAAAAAAAAAAAAGTTTAACAGTCAATTTAAAACAGCCTCCCTTAAGTCAGGCCTTTAAGAAGTCCAGTAGTATTTGCCAACGCCTGACAGGCCCCACAATCTTCACCTTGACAGCCATTCTCACTTCCCTACGTACTTAAGTTTCCTCTGCCTTGGACAGTCACTTTTGTACAAGGAAGAATCAAAAACAAAGGAGTCCTTCTCATCTCCGATGGCAGTAGAGCTACTCTTAGGAAACCAGATAAAGGGTAAGATTTAGAAGTTACCCTACAGGTGTTCCTCACCTCATCAGTTCAGCTGACGTATAAGCTGGTTGATTCCTTCACCTCTGCAGCCAGGTTTGCCCATTTCCTTGAGGAAACCCACTTTATTATGTGCAGCATGGCGAGCCACTGACAGATGGAACGGCCACAGAAAGTCTGTGACTTTTTGAAAATATTTCCCAGCTGAGTAGATTTCATGAATAAGATCTTCCAGGCAAATAATACCACAGTCTCCTGCAGGTAAAAAACAATTGTAAAAAAGCCACACACACAAAAGGGATGCTTAATTGTGGTATCTTTCAGGACACCACCCCAGAATCCTCAGTCCTCCACATACATGCCTATCCTGTAACATTTTTCTTCCTCCTCCCTTCCCTCTCGCATCAGATTGCAAACCCTCAATATTCCCCTCTTTCCTTGATTCACTTTATTTTTCTCATCTTCCTCCTCACCTAAATGTTCCTCTATCAACATATTGTCTGTCAGAGGAACCCTCTTCTTGTTAATCTTGGCTTGACCCCGTTTCAGAATGAGCTCTCGTACAGACTTCAGGTTAGGGTACCTGTAAAAAAAAATGAGATTTTGTTAATGACAGAGATGAGGCAGCAGGAAGTCCCTCATCTTTTTATCAGAGTGGGAAAGTAACCATTGTATGTTTCGAATGATGACAAGGAACAAGTACAAGTTTTAGATCTTAAGTTGCCAAGGCTAGGACCTTCCCTGGAAAGCCAGGTATGGATTTGATGACATTGTGATACCATAAGGAAAAGTCAAAAAGCTGTATTTACACACTATTTACTATTAAAGCATCAGAACAGCACTCACCCCCATGCCACATAAGGTTCCACAATCCGCAGCATCTTTAGAGATAACGGAGTCAGTTTAACAAACGTTCCACTGAAAATCTTTCTCAACCGAAGCAACTCAATCACTCTTCGTACCTTCAGACTCACTCCCTTAATCCTGAAACAGAAAAAATGTTATCAGTAACTCTCTTTCTCTAGTATAGCAAGAAAACAGCCTCAAATTACCTATAAGAAGACATGTCCACACTGATCACACTTTCTTTACTTAGAAATAGCATGACAGTTACAAATCGCAGTAACAATAAAAGATAACAAAAAAAGATAACAAAAGTTTCTTACTCTACAATTCGTACGACAAAGGCTAGTTTGTGCTCCTGAGGTACAGCCACCTGCCCAGGTCTCTGTTTCATGCGCCTCAGCCGGACTTCGTCTCGGTGTTTGCGCCATGAATCTCGAACAAAAGTCTCAAGACGTTTAAACTGGATTTGTTTCCCTTTCTGGTGCTAAAGATAGAACGGTAAGAAATGAACACCTTTCCCAACATTACCACCTCTGCATCTTATAAGTTTACATCTCAAAGGTCAAATTAAATTCAGAACCTGAACTATGCTCTTCCAGTTTGGAGGCAATAATAAGAAAATAATTTTGAAAATATAAGGCCAAGAGGGACAGAACCGATGGACTATAATCGGATCAAATTCCAAACTTTAAGCAGTTAGCTCTAATGCATAAACCGTGAACCAATAGAAGTTTTCCCCAGAACCCAAGAAATAAGTTAGGATAAAACATAGAGCAAGACCTAGAACATTTGTAGGCACAGGAGAAACAGCCACAGGATTCATTGCACTTTGAATGCTTACGCTCAGCTCAGAAACAAGTATTTGCCATCTTCCTAAATCATACCGCTTTCTGCATGAGGAAAAGTTCAATGTGCACAGCAGTTATCCATTAACACTTTAGATACAGAAGCAACTAAATTATCAGGGCATTTTACAACTAAGCTACCTAACGTTATGCATCCTTGATTCAGTTTCACCTCACAAGCCACCCACGCAGAGAGCTTAAGCTTTCAAACCAGGCAGACGCGATCGCGCTGTCAGCATTAGGGTCATTTTTCCCCTCAAAAGCTGGCTACTTCACGTTACCCCTTGTGCTTCCGCTCCCCCCATGGAAATACAGCCCGCAAGCCGCGCTACTCAAGGACACGCACACAAGCCCGCGACAAACAAAAGCAGCAGGTTTTGGCACGCGATGCCCTCGCAGGCCGCTGCCGGCCCCCGCCGCCGTACCTTGCGCTTGCTGAGGAGCGCCTGCTTGGCCTGCGTGGCCTTCAGCGCCTGGTAGGCCTTCCGCTTCTTCAGCAGGTTCTCCGGCACCAGCGGGATCCTCCGCCTCGGCCTGGCCGCACGAGAAGCCCGTTAGACCCC